GGGGGTATGTGTGAGGTGGTGGGGGTATGTGTGCGGTGGTGGGGGGTATGTTTGCGGTGGTGGGTATGTTTGCGGTGGTGGGGGTATGTGTGCGGTGGTGGGGGAGTATCTGTGCGTTGTGGGGGGTATGTGTGCGGTGGTGTGGGGAGTGAGATCGTCTCAAAAGTTTTAAAGAATCATCGATTGTTTGGGGGGGGGGGGTCCTCAAAAGGTTTTTTAGGCACTGGTCACTATCTCACATCCAGCCAGCTGTTTAAAGTTGAATGCATTTTTACTCCCTTATGGAATAGAGATTGCAATTTTATAATTGAAAGTGTGAGTCCATCATTGTTTAAAAATTAAATGATACTGACTATCATTGTTTACAAAATGAAAGATTCTGACCATTCTTGTTTACAAATTAAATGATACAGACCATCATTGTTTACAAATTGAAAGATACTGACCATCATTGTTTACAAATTAAATGATACTGACCATTATTGTTTAAAAACTGAAAGATAGTGGCCATCATTGTTTACAAATTGAAAGATACTGGTCATCATTGTTCACACATTGAATGATGCTGACCATCATTGTTTACAAATTGAAAGATACTGACCATCATTGTTTACAAATTGAATGTATGAGTCCATCATTGTTTACAAATTGAAAGTTTACTGACCATCATTGTTTACAAATTGAATGTATAAGTCCATCATTGTTTACAAATTGAAAGATTACTGACCATCATTGTTTACAAATTGAAAGATTACTGACCATCATCGTTTACAAATTGAATGTATGAGTCCATCATTGTTTACAAATTGAATGTATGAGTCCATCATTGTTTTCAAATTGAAAGATTACTGACCATCATTGTTTACAAATTGAAAGATACTGGCAATCATTGTTTACAAATTGAATGTATGAGTCCATCATTTTTTTTCAAATTGAAAGATTACTGACGATCATTGTTTACAAATTGAAAGATACTGGCAATCATTGTTTACAAATTGAATGTATGAGTCCATCATTGTTTTCAAATTGAAAGATTACTGACCATCATTGTTTACAAATTGAAAGATACTGGCCATCACATCATTGTTTACAAATTGAAAGATACTGACCATCATTGTTTACAAATTGAATGATACTGGCCATCATTGTTTACAAATTGAAAGATTACTGACCATCATTGTTTACAAATTGAAAGAGTACTGACCATCATTGTTTACAAGTTGAAAGATTACTTACCATCATTGTTTACAAATTGAAAGATTACTGACCATCATTGTTTACAAATTGAAAGATTACTGACCATCATGGTTTACAAATTGAAAGATTACTGATCATCATTGTTTACAAATTGAATGATACTGGCCATCATTGTTTACAAATTGAAAGATTACTGACCATCATTGTTTACAAATTGAATGATGCTGACCATCATTGTTTACAAATTGAATGATGCTGATCATCATTGTTTACAAATTGAATGATACTGGCCATCATTGTTTACAAATTGAATGATGCTGACCATCATTGTTTACAAATTGAAAGATACTAATCATCATATTTTTCAAATTGAAAGATACTTACCATCATTGTTTACAAATTGAAAGATACTGACCATCTTTTTTTTACAAATTGAAAGATACTGACCATCATTGTTTACAAATTGAATGTATGAGTCCATCATTGTTTACAAATTGAAAGATACTGACCATCATTTTTTACAAATTGAAAGATACTGACCATCATTGTTTACAAATTGAATGATACTGGCCATCATTGTTTACAAATTGAAAGATACTGGCCATCATTGTTTACAAATTGAATGATGCTGACCATCATTGTTTACAAATTGAATGATGCTGACCATCATTGTTTACAAATTGAATGATGCTGACCATCATTGTTTACAAATTGAATGATACTGGCCATCATTGTTTACAAATTGAATGATACTGACCATCATTGTTTACGAATTGAATGATGCTGACCATCATTGTTTACAAATTAAATGATGCTGACCATCATTGTTTACAAATTAAATGATGCTGACCATTATTGTTTACAAATTGAATGATGCTGACCATCATTGTTTACAAATTGAATGATACTGGCCATCATTGTTTACAAATTGAATGATGCTGACCATCATTGTTTACAAAATGAATGATGCTGGCCATCATTGTTTACCAATTGAATGAAACAGACGATCATTGTT